CCTTAGATGGTTTGGTCACATAAAACGGCGGCCTTCCAATGACCCGGTTAGGAGAGTAAAGGTAGATTTTTTACTTATGTTAAGAAAGGTAGAGGCAGACCTAAAAAGACTTGGTTAGAAAATATTAGGAATGACCTTTCTTTATTAGATTTAAACGAGAATTTGACCTTTAATAGGATACAATGGAGAAAAATGATTCGTGTAGGCGACCCCACATAGTGGGATAAAGGCTTGATGTTGTTGTTGTGTAGATTCGTATCATCAAAAGACATCATTACAATCATAAATTTGTTGAAAATGACTTATCAATCTTCATTTATGTATAACTAACTTGTGTATATTTGCACTTGATCAGCCATATTAATAGATAGACTATCCCTTACAATGTAGCCTTAACAACAAAAACCCTTCAGTGAACTACTTTTCCTAATCAAATTTGATAAACACCTAAAAGACTAATTAATTTTAGCCCAAAAGTATTATCAATTACAAATCAATCTACCCAATTTAAGCGAATTAGCCAAAAACTCTGCCTAAACCAAGTAATTGATTAAGCAAGATCAAATTGCATAGGGTACATGTTCCTAAGCATATGTCCTAACACTAAACCTAAGATTAGTTTATACTTTTAATATTAAAGTTCCATTAGGAGACTTGTCTTAGTAGCATATATTAACAAAAATAATTATGATCACAAGTACAAGCCTCTTGTTATTCAAAGGGTTCAGAGCTTAACATGTTTAATAAGGACAGCCTTCAAGAAACAGAGGGGGGAGAGAGAGATGATTTAGACAAAAAGCAGTGAACAAAGCAATTAAGGCTTCATTGGGACTGCTTTCTTAAAGCTTTTTAAAGCAGCTTTTTAGAAAGTAATAAAAAAGCTGTTTTAAGAAGCAATAAGAAAGACGTCCCAAACAAAGTCTAAGACTGTTTTGAACGACTTTTTTTATTGCATCTTAAAATAATTTTTTAGTACAAAAACTTTAATTTTTTTTTTCTAAAAAAATGTTTTAAGAAGTAGAAAAAAAGCCATCCCAAACGACTCCTAAATTCCTTAAAACCTATCATTCATATCTAGATCCTATCATTGAAGGCACATAGCAACATTACCAATTGATTGTTACTGTAAAGCTTTTGATAATTTGCTTACATGTAATTATGCTCAGCTTTCATTGTTTTCTAAGGTTGGATCAGTCAGTTCTGAATTAATAATGATTTAAAGCAAGTCATGTGAAAGAAATAATTAGTCACATCCTTAGACAAAATGATAGGAGGAGAAATTTGCCTTTTTCTTTAGTGGGAGGCATGACTAAGAGATTTAGTGTGCATTATTAATTACTTGGCTTGCTTATTTTGCAAGGGAAATGTGTGTGAGGATCCACTGAATTTAATGAGGTACACAAAAATATTTAAATTTTCCTTAAAAATGTCAATTATGTATAAAAAAATGTAAAAGAATCCATAGCTCATTAGTTAATAAAGAAGGTTGTATCTTTAAGATCACCAATTTTGAAATATATAACTCACCATTAAAAAAATTTAATTAAAATAATATGTTTAATTATTATAGTTAATAGCCTCAATTATAAAATAATTAAAAAAAATGAAAATCTAAACCCCTCTCTTTCTTCCCCCTTAAATTTTTATTTTTCAACCTCTCATTTCTCTTCTTTTCACAATTCCCTCAATGCAACTCATTCACATTCATCTTCTCTCTTTCACGAGACATCTCCAACTCGTAAGCCAGCTCAAACTCGATTGATTAAATCAAGGTCAATAATCTTTTGAGTCAAGAACAGTCGAGCTTGAACCGGCTAATTTACATCAGCATTTGCACCAAAAGAAGACTCACTCACCTATGGGCATTAGTTAGTATAAAAACTGCAACTGAAGTAAGTTTGCTAAAGTAAATCAACCATATGCATCTATTTATGCAAATATTATTGTAATAACACAATTCTCATACAGGACAATAGAGCATTTTAAGTGGTTTTCCTTTCAATCAAACCACAGCAGCCTTATTGCCAAAAGCCTTTTCAATATGAGAATAACATTCATTTACAATGACTATCTGCCAAAAAAATGGGTGCATTTGCTGACAAATTTTCAACTCTTAATCTTTCTTAAAGGTTTCTGTAAGTGCTGTACTATAAGAAAGAAAGAAATTGTACATCCATGGAGCATATGATCTCTGTATATGTGCAAAGATGCCCTTCAAGTATTCAAAGCATCCAAAGCAATGAGAAAAACACAATCCACAAGGAAATCGAGCTACCGGAAAGTTCGAAGAAAGGTCCATGGTCCTCTTGCAGTACCTATCCTGTACAGGTGGGTAGTGTTTCTTTTGAGCTTACAGAAACATGTAAAACATAACATGAAACTAGTTTGACATATGAAACATGCTTAATTCCAAGAGGCAATGACCAAATTGCCAGTTTTCAGATGCAAATTTCATGAAATATGTTGCAAAGAAGATTTCAGACTGTTTGATTTAGGCTTCGTTTGGGACGGCTTTTTTACTGCTGTTTAAAACAGCTTTCTAGTACAAAAGTTAAAATTTTTTACTTTAAAACTGCTTTAAGAAGCAGCAAATAAACTGTTCCAAACAAAATCTTAAGGTTATTTAGATAGCAGTTTCATCCAGATTGCAGTATGACATCCAACAAACCCAATATGTTTAATTCAGTGCTATTTTGTTTAAAGAATTTAATGTTACTTCAAATGCTTGCTTCTGATCATGATTTTTTTTTTTTTTTTATTTCTATTAGCTGTTGGGTAAACAAATGCATTCTTGAAAGATAAATCTGTAGCTGAAGTAAACAGACCTATGAGATGAAGCCCAGAGAGTATAAGGATCAGGAATTTAAAAACACAAAAGCATCATTGAAAATTTCAGGAACATAAAGTAGCAACAAGGTCACAATTTTACACATTATTAGATATATTTTTTGTTAAAAAAGTCCTAGAGTTAGGCTTCGTTTGGGACGGCTTTCTTACTGCTTCTTAAAACAGTTTCTTAGAACAAAAATTTAAATTTTTATGCTAGAAAGCCACTTTAAGAAGCAGTAAAAAAGTCGTCTCAAATGAAGCCTTAGTTTTCTAAGAAATGTACAAAGCATTCAAGCAAAATATCCCATTTAAGACATTATGAGTGTAGTTAGAATGAGTTGAATGCATTTAACAAAATACCTGAACAAACCAGCAAAAAATCTTAAACTCATGTAAATTGTCAAAGCTACCCAAATTCCAATGAAGCCATAGCTTGAGGAGAGGAAAATTATGCAGAGGACGCTAGCAATGGCCACCATGACCTGGAAATGTAGACATCATAAACATTTACTCTACATAATGGAAACAAACAGCAATTCTCTTGATTATCATCATAAACAGAATTCAGAATTCGTAGTGCTTCGACTTGCCAGAGAATAGGCTGAATATGCAAAATCTGATGCGCCGAAGTTAATGCCATCAAAGCAAAAGGCCAGAGCATTAATTGGTTGTGACAGCGCCACAAACTGAAAATAAAAACGAGCCTTCGTTAGATGTCATGGAAAACATCACAGTTTATTAATTCATTAGGACTAAATAGTAGGGGTGTCAATATTTGACATAACCAGAAAACCGGACTTGAACCCGACACGAAAATTTCAGGTTAGGATCAACCAGGACCCGAAACGGGTCAGGTTCGAGTTCTGCAAATCGATTGACTGGATCCCAATGTAAGAGTAAAGCTCCAATTGCGTTTGCTAAATACTTTGCAGGAATAAGGTTATTACTGGTATTGCAATATGAATGAGGTGCAGCACTTCAGCATCCTTGGTAAACAATTTTGATGCAAATTGCAAGCCACCCCCAAGCAATGCACAGAGGAACAAGCCTAGAATAACTGCCCACTGCAACACAATGTTAAATAAGAGTCCCTCACTGTTACAGAATAGAGATATCAGATCTAATGGAGAAACTAGTTAGATAAATAAGGAAAAATGCTCTCGAAGTCCGTGTTGGCAATAGCGTGCGGGATTTGACGAGAGTTTATTCATGTACACTGCATGAGACCCACCGGGTCCTATGCATAACAGGTGCACCAATGATGTGAATTGCATCAACACAGGCGCGGTGCACGGCACCATAAAATTTGAGATATATGATTGAAAGCATATACCTGCAATACGCGCGAAGCTGCAGATGCTGCCTTCTGATAATCTTTTCTTGCAAAGGCACTTGCAAGTATTGCCTGAATGAATTAGGAGTCAATGAAGGTGTTCTTGGTAATAGTAAGAACTAACCATGTACAAAATGTTGAAAATTTTATCAAAAAAATACTTTCTCATCTATTAAGAATAAAGAAACTTAAAAAATGTAAACAAGTGGTGAATATTCTCAATCATTGGAAGGTCTACTATTTAACTCTGCACAAAGAAATTATCTTCCCTTATAATGTTGATTGCTAATGGCATTTATGCTTCATAAATTTTAAAAGATTTCTATTGTGAAGATTTAGATATATTAGAAAAAAAAGAGTTTCCTTCGTAGCAAGGTATAACCAAGATAAAACAACAGAAAAAGTGAGTCAAAGCAAAGAAAGCTCTCTTTCTACTTAAAGGGTGATTTAATCTGACAATAGAGTGATAAGTCAAAATCTATTTTATTCCATGTCCATGCAAAGCCAAAGTTAGTCGAGATATTAGGTTCGTGCAAATTCAAGTATCAACTATACCCTTTTAAGTTTGCCAATATGATTATTCTAGCTGACCAAACTGTTAGGCATGGGTTTAATTTCTCTTAACTATTATGGCTAAAATTTAGTCTTCCTTTTCTTAAAATTGTTTGCTACTATACTAACTTAAGATCCATTCACATTTGATTTATAAGATGGTGACTACATAACTCAAGATTCATTCACTTTATTTTGTAAGATGTTTGCTACCTAATTCAAATTTTATTCATACTTAATCATTCACCTATCACCTTATATTGCAACTGCAAAAGAAGAATAAATCAATAACTGCAAGCATCCTATAAAAACAAACAATTAAAGAGAATGAAAGAATAGGAGGTGAGAAGGGAAGAGAGAAAGAAGTTCTCGTAGCAAAGAAGGTGAGAGAAGGAGAAACATTATGAACACTTAATTTGTTCAGTCCTTACCTTTAAAACAAATGATTAGGTTACTTATCAGTTATTACTAAAGACAGTGATATTGTTAGGCCGGTTCAGGATGAACCGGCCCAATCTTCCCCAAATCCTGAACCGATCCTGGATGGGCCGGTTTTGGTCTATAGGAGGTGGGCTAGTACCGCCTCATCTTCCTTTGCCGCCCACAATAGTGGGTCCCACTATTTAAATTGAATCCAAAATAAGAAAGGAGGGGGTGGCTAGGGTTTTGGAGAGAGATTTGATTTAGAAGGTTTATGTATTAAATAGCATGAGCTGTTTTAGGATTGGGGGTTAAGCTTTGATTTGTTTCTTTTGTTCTCTTGAAGTTTCTTTGGTGTTTTTGGCTCTAGATTCATCGTATAGAGATTGGGAAAGAACGATCCTCCTCTCGAATTAGAATGATGCAAGCAAAATTGGAAGAGTCGGCTGATTCTTGGTTGCTTGGGTTGGCTGTTCAGTTCCCTGACCGTTTGGCTGTTCAGATGGCTGTCCGTTGGCCTTTTATCTCCTCTTTTCTAATTGGTTTGAGTGGGCGGCTGATTTGGCTTTTGGAATTCCTAATTTATGGTGACTTTTGGAATTCCTAATTTATGGTGACTTTTGGGATTCCTAATTTATGGTGACTTTTGGAATTCCTAATTTATGGTGACTTTTGGAATTCCTAATTTATGGTGACTTTTGGGATTCCTAATTTATGGTGACTTTTGGAATTCCTAATTTATGGTGACTTTTGGGATTCCTCTTCTCCAATTTATGAGGGCTGTTTTGTGGGCTTTTGGGCTACTTCTTCCCTCCTATATATAGGATTGTTTTGGGCTGTTTTAGAAGTATGTTTTGGTGAGAAAATATTTAGAATGTGAAACCTGCGGGTTGTGTTCTAGCTTGCGAGCTAGTTCCCTTTCTCTTCTCCTCTATTTGATTTCGTCTCGGGCTTCTTATCTACTTCTTATCTCCATGGTAACCACTCCATTGTATCTTTCTTCTCAACCTATCTTATTATCAATGTATTAGGTGTTTAAGTGCCATTTAACGTGTCTTTGTTATCATATCATCTATAATTTGTAGTTTTGTCGTTAAGTCGTCCTATTAGTCATTTTTTCGGTATATTTGGTTTGAAATAGGTCAATTTTGGAAGACTTGCAAATTTTGTATTTGTAGACAAATTTTCTTGCCTACATCAGAGGATCAATTGTAACTTGCTTTGTGTTTGCTTTTGCTTTGAATCCACTATTACAATCTATCGTTTTGGATTGATTTTGTCGAGATTATAGCATCATTCCTGCTGTTTTTATCAATTATTGCTAGGGTTGCTTGCGAACTCAAGTATTTCCTATCAGATATCTTTGTCTTTATTTATATAGTGTAATCTATCAATATAACTCCTTTGAAGCTTAATGAAACATTTGATCTTTGTGTGACCGTGGATGCCAATCAATCTCATCAAATCATGTAAACTAGTGTGAGCTGTGTTTAAGATCTTTGGCATGTTTCTTCTCTAGTCTTTTGCATGAAGTCCTATCACTGTCCTAACAATAGAAGTATGCAGTTAATGCAACAGTAAATTATTTCTATAATTCCATTTAAAAAGTTCTTTCTATGTTAATATGCAGAGTTACTTTGATGTATGGGAAAAACATAAAATTTCCTATATCTTGTGAATGTTGTCTATTACAACTAACAAAAACAAAAAAGGATTTCACTTTCATTACCATATAATCATAACTGCGTTGTTTTTCTAAGAAACATACGGGTATCATCAGCAAGGTAATTCCATACCTGTCCAGCAACGGCCAATCCATCAGCAAGAAGAGAGATTGTCAACCACACTTGCAAGCAGATTTGGAATGCTGCCATTGGAATTGAACCCATTCGTGCTGCTTTTGATGCTGACAATGTTATACAGAATGTCACGGCAATCACCCTCGTAAGCAGTAGGAAACCTGAAACCAAATCGCTTTTCAAGCAGCTGCTGCTTCAATGGAAATGTTAAGTATCAAATGTTGAATTGAAATAATTGTTAAGCCACTCTAATCTTGAGGTTATATACAGCTCTAAAAGACTTGTTTTTTGTGTGCTTAGAAAAAAAAAAAATTATTTTAAGACGTATTTTATTTCTTATTCATCAGCAAGTAGAGAGATTTTAAGACTTCTTTCTAAGAACTCAGACTGATTAAATCTCGGACAAAACTACTCATTAACAAGCCATTAAGGACTAATACCAAAGAAAATTTGAATCACTTTTCAATTGGCTCCATCTCACTACCATTGGAGAAAAAGTCGCACAAGGGTGAAAGCTATGGCCAATAATTTGCTTATTTAACACATGATTAGAAAAGCAAAGAACATAATTCATAAATTAATTGATTAAATGTAGCAATGCCAGGTTCAAAAATTCTTGATTGAAGAAGCAAAAAGCGAATAATGCAATAATAAATAAAACTAGAAGAGAGATGCTGCCGCCCTATTAATGAGAGAAATCAAAATGATTATGGTACAGAATTTACCATTTTTAAGGAACCTGTGAAATTGTAGATCACTGATACTAGGTGGTAGCACTTCAACTCTTCTCAACAATTTCCACAATAGAATTAATGCAATTAAGTACCTACAGAATCACAAGTTGAATAAGAATTGCAATACTGAAAATATAGAAGAAAAGAAAAACCATTTCGAAGAGTGTCTATCAAAAATATTGGCATATAGATATGATAGTGATGATGTGGTGGTACTTACTGAGAAATAACATGTGCAATTGCTGCACCGCTGACGCCTAAATGGAAAACAAACATAAAAATTGGGTCCAATATTATGTTGGTTGCATCCCCAGCCACTGAAATACCAAAAATATGAATTTAAGTTTGTTAATATAAGGTAATAAGTGATGGACAGGTGAATTACAAGAAGATCATAAAAAGAAAAAACAAACTTCTAAGAGAATGAAATTAGAATTTAAAAATCTTTCCTTCACAGGCTAGTAATTCGGACTTATCCTCTTCGGATTTGTAGCCATTCATTATAAGTTATCCTTATGGGGTTCCTTATTTTTAAGGTTTGCCTGTTGCGTTTCTCAATTGGTTGCTGTTACAAAAATGAACTTAAGTTTGCTACAGTCTCTACAAGTTGTTGTGACTCCTTGGCTTGTGGCCTTACCTGCAGCTTGCTTTACCATCTCTCACGAATTGTACCTTCTTGCTACACTTTTTTCTTTGGTTGGGTTGAACTTGTGGCAACCATATCTACTAACTTAGGATGAGATATAATTGGATAACTCTTGGATTTAATAAAATTTATTATTTTAACTGTCAATCATGTATATGGATTTTAGTTATGTGATTCCTTTGAGTGTGGTACAAATATACCAAACTAAATAGGGGGTAAATCATTTCCTAGCACAGGCAAAAAGTCTTGGTTTCTATTATTTTGGCAAATTATTCTCTTTAATTTCTTCAAAATATATTGTTATTAGCTTATTGCTATTCCTTATTTTGTTCAAATTTGATACAATTGGGATTATAATTATGATAAATATTAAAATTTCTTATTGATTTTACATTGTTTGATTTTTTATTAATTTCTTAAATTTATTCAATCATTGCATTATTTCAAATTAAATTGGGCTGATTTTGTGGCAACCATATGTCCATATCTACTAACTTGAGAATGAGAAGTTAATAAATAGATAGCATGGGTATACCGGTACGAAGCCTCAATTTCTATTACTTTGATGAATTCTCTTCATTAATTTCATCCAAATATATTGTTATTGGCATGCTTGCGTTCCTTATTTTGTTCAAACTTGATACAATTGGGATTATAATTATGGCAAATAAATTGAAATTGCTTGTTGATTTTGCATTGTTCAAATTTCTTTTTTATTTTTTGAATTTATTTGAAGTTTGCTTTATCATTTGGGTTTTAATTCTCATTTGTTTATTTTGTACCAAAGTAATTTTTTTTTATATTTATAGCCTTTGATCTGCAAATCTTAAATTTTCCAATGTGAAATGCATACATCGCATCATTCAAATTGCACTTAAAATACGATTGAGTGGCACAATAAATTTGCTTATGATTTCGTTAACAGGATAAAATCATCCACTCAATGAGAAATCATTCCACTTAGCAAATCAGATATGTTGAAGAAATGATAGAATACTCGTCAAAATATATTAAACAAAAGTTCATTTCGCTTCATCACTTGACTAGGTTGATCTATAAAAACTAACCCAAACAATAGCGCATGACATTCTCCCAACTTCAATTGGGCCACCTAAAAAGGTAGAACCAAATAATTTTTTATGTAGATTTGTTTGGAGTATAACATTACTCAAAATGAAAATATACATAAAATATAGAATAATACATTTTCTACACTGAAGATAATTGTTCATCTGATGAATCATTTTTAATAAATTAAAATTCTAGGCAAACTTTTTTCAAACTATGTATGCTCCACCTTAGTCCTTCATGCTACAAATTTACAAGATCCACATAAAAACTCAAAAAAATAGGTACCTCAGACATTAGATCAACCATGGAAAGCATAATCAACACGTTAGAAGGTTAAATAAAAAAGTAGCACATTAAAAAAAAAAAAAACTCTAAGCTTCTTGATTTTATTTTTTTCTTCCACACTTAAGGATTTTGAACCTTTTCAAGGCCAACTGAAGTCTAACCAACACATGACTCTGATCCCAACTTCTTAATCAAATATTCATCAGTAAACATAATATTGTCAATATATCCTTGAGTAAAAGTGTAAAGCAACTTCTGAGACATGATATCTATGAATAGAAAGAATAAATTTGATACAAAAGGTATTTCTGTTTAAAATAATATAAAAGATTTACATTTGCGTACCAGTAGCATATAAAGGAGTTTTTGTATCCTTAAATCCTCGAAAAACTCCTTGCATGGCCATAGATAAGACATTAGCAGGAGCACCAAGGGACCTCAATGTCAAGTACTGAGATGCTGGAGTCATCATAGGAGAATCCTATTGAGAAAAAAGCATATAATTAACAATGTGTGATTATTTCGGGTCATGTCATACAAGCTAATGAATTCCACTATCTACAAAACCATTTTTCTATGTGCAAAATAAAAATAAACCAAAGCCAAATTGTTAGAATGGGATTTCACATGAGGAAGACAAGAATTTATGTTATCAAATAAGAATAATGCATGTACAAATAAGAAGGTTTATGGAGTCAGGGGTTAGAGTTGATTTTAAGAGAATACATTTTAGGGATGATAAGGCAAAGGTGAAGTCTAACCAACTCCGAATGATTTGGATAAAACAAATACCGTTGATGATGAGGAGGGGAGAAGTATGATACTTTAACAATGATGCCAAAAAGAGGTATTTAGCAAATATTTCAAGTATGTGATCTTTACCACCATTAATCTAAGTAGTTTTATAGCTGCAGATCAAAAGTTAAACCAGTACATTGTCCTTGAAGTATCGCATAATTGAAAGATAGATCTATATAAAATTTAAAAGTTCTTCCGGGAGCAAATAGTATATTCTAGGAATTGGTAGATTTAATCATTATTTGTTCAAACTTGAGTGACAAAGGCAAAATTTAGAAAAAAATATATATATATTGGAAATTTCAGCTTTGTAGCTCATGCCATGAGAGGCTTACATCAGGTTATTTCTGAAGAGCAACGTTGTCAGTATAATTGTCACTTCAAACCATCAATTGCACCAAGGTTTAAAATTGCGTAAATAAGCCTCGAGGCGTTTTTCGTCCGTGAGGCGAGGCGTAAGCCTCGAGGCGGTGTGAGGCGTAAGCCTCACCGACGAAGAATTACGTAAATGAGAATTTAAGGGTTTTAGCAAGTTAAAAATAGTAAGATTCTATCATACAATAAAAACATCTAAATGACAATTAAAATTAGGGGAAAGTAAGAAAATAGATTCAATAAAATCATGTCCCAAAGTACAAAACCACAAAATATTAGTCTATCAAAACTCCCAAAGTCCAATTAAGAAAGAACTTATAAAATCCAATCATGTCCCATCACTAAATGGGTCTTCAAGGGAATCTTTTCACCCCTTCCTCCTCTCCTATAGAGTCCAATGTCTTCCAATCAAAGCATGCACTCATGAACAAGTAGACTAACACTAACAACTATTACCGAGCATGTTCCTTAGCAGTACCGAGCATGTGCCTAGCAGTAGGCGGTTTTGGGTCAAATTGCGCAGAGGCGCGCCTCAAGGCGGGCCTCTTATTGCGCAATTTTAAACAGAGAATTGCACAAGACATCGGTTACCATTTAGTGATGCCTATCTCCAATGTGACCATGTTTAACAAATTTTATTTACAAGTAACATAAACCAATTGATCTTAAATTCTTTTCACCAAAGATCTCCAAATTTATGAAGTATAAAAACAATCACAGCCATATTCTAATACAATGAACAAAAATTGACCAGGTTTAGGGGAAAAAAATTAATAGTACATAGAAATTTGTATTGCTTCAAGTGGTGATGCATCAAGCTTATTTATGGTTAATGAAAATAAAATTGAAATAGTCTTGCTAGAAAAGATTTGTGAAATCTTAAAGACACCCTATGATTAGAGCAAGTGCAAATTTCAATTTTAAAATGGTAAATTGACTGCTTGACTGCCAACCTAAGGAATTTAAAAAGCTCAAAAATTAATTCATTTGCAAAAGAAAAAGGAATTTCTTTCATTACAGAAAGACATAACAATGTATGCATGGTTTCCTCATACATAAGACGTTATATGGAACATAATGCATAACTAATATCCATGTCGAATGTATTTGATATTATCGACCACATTATCTCTAATCATAAGAGATCAGTGATGTTTATAAATCAAAACAAACCCTTAAAACATGGAACTTATGTATAATTAGGTGCATCATCATTAGCTACTCATCCTCCACTCATTAGTATTCAGTTCTACGTGAGGTGTTAAATCTATCTACATAAAATTTATTAAAATTCATATGAAACTAAAAACGGTATCACATCATAAGTGAAACTAGAGACGAGCTTCTAATATACTAGTAGTGGCACCTACCCATTAGTTAAACTTTTGGTTTAACAGGTGTCCATATATTAATGCATTATGCTCAACTTGGGCCCATGATCTCCAACCTCCTAATCAGTGATATCAAAGTCAATGGTTGGGCAAGAAAGTGTACATGTGGTTTGTGACTTCCATGGGTCCTAGAGACTTCTACCATACATGATTGAGCAAGGGTCTAGAACGAGTCATCCCCTCGCATGGTCTACATGATTGAGTGGGTTATTGGTACATAAAAGTCGATGATATTAAAAACCTCAATTTAAGGTAGAGTAGTGTATGAAGCAAAGGACTCTCATTTGATGAGAATATTGTTGAGTTTCACATAAGAGTGAAAAAAATAAATTTTCTCATCATAATTGAAAAAAGAAATAAGTTCATAATATACCAGTAGTAGCCCCTGTGCACTAGCTTAAGCTTTTTCAATTGATGGCTGCGCATCATTTAATATATTGAGCTTTCAACTTTCCTCCCTCTAAACAACCAATTTTTCTTCCTAATCCTTCTAAATTTATTTTATTTACTAATCTTATTAGTACATTTTATGCCCTTCCTTGTACATGTCTAAATCATATAAATCTAATTTTTATCATCTTAATTCACTCTTACTCCCTCTAATATATTAATTTCTCAATCTATCCCTCCAAGTTTTGCTATCCATTCATCATAATTCTCTTATTCTATCAGGCATATCTTGTCTATAAATGACCAATATAAAAGATCATAGAAAATAGCTTAACCCAATTGCAATTTTGTAAAATTTAATTGCATATATGATACTCTCTCATCACATAGGACTCTTAAGACATTTCTTCATTTTAACCACTAAATCTTGATTCTATAAATTATTTCCCTAACTTTCTATAAAATATATCCAAAATACTAAATATCGCATTAGTTTTTAGTATTATTATTTGATAATTAATAATATCACACCCATTAAAATTAAGTGTCATATAATTAATAAACATATGCAACACATATGAAGATTGAAGAGTTATAATTACAGGAAATTAAGAATGCTGCATAACTCAAGTAAAAACTACTTGTTTCTAAATTGGTCTAATATCAAATATGCTTTCATAACAAGCCCGATTACTTTTCATGATAAAGGGTTAAATTTCAAAGTAGTCCCCGACTATTCATATATACCCATTTTAGTTCCAAAGTATAATATTGCTCCAATTTAATCCCTCGACTAAAAAAACTAATCCAAAATGGCCCCTTGGGACTAAATTGAGATCAACTTTGTAAAGTTAAGAAACTAAATTGGGATCAATTTTATATCACAATTACAACATGAGTGACTATTTTGATAAATTTTATAGTTGAGAGATTAAATTGAGGCAACGTGATACTCTGGGATTAAATTGGTCATACATAAATAGTCTAGGGACTATATTGAGATTTTTCTATGACAAAAACAATACAATAACAACAACAACAACATTAAGCCTTTATCCCACTACATGGAGTCAGCTAAATGAATCTTTTTTCTTCATTGTGTCCTATTAAGAGTCAAATTCTCATTTAAATCTAATAAAAAAATGTCATTTATAATATTTTCTATTTAAGTCTTTTTAGGTCTACCTATACCTTTCTTAACATAAGCCAACTCTAGTACATCTACTCTCCTAATCAGGTCATCAGAAGGCCGTCGTTTTATGTGACCAAACCATCTAAGACGACTCTCTCTAATCTTATCTTCCACTGGAGTTACTCCAACCTTTTCACGATTATGCTCGTTTCGTATCCTATCTCTAAGAATAAAGACACTCATCCACCTGAGCATCATCATCTCTACAACACTTAACTTAATGTTATGCTTCTTTTTTAATGGCTAACATTCTACATCATAAGACATTGCAGGTCTCACCACCATCTTATAAAATTTTCTCTTAAGTTTGTGGGGGGGCTTTTCTATCACACAACAAGCCCGATACATTCATCCACTTCAACCATTCAACTTGAATTGAATTCTACTAATAATATCCTCATCTATTTCACCATCACTCTGAACAATAGTGAATGCTAGAACTGATGTTTAACATAAAATCATATAGTTACACCCAAAGAGGAATTTAATTAACAAACTATGCTTTCTTTTCTTTGAACAACATTAAAATTAAAATAAATAAAATGAAAAAAAAAACATGCAAACTACCTAACATTGAACTTACATGTTTTACACCCATGAATGTTAAGATAGGCCTTGCGCAAAAGACAAGAAGCATAGTCTGAAGAAGGCCAAGTATTCCACCAATCACTAATGCAGTTGAAACTGAAGGAATATTTTTGCGTTCACTCTCTATCTTGGCAGAGTTTGTAGACATATCAGAGGAGAAGGATAAACTGTTTGCTCTCTCGTTAGAATCTGATAATTCAATAAAACAAAGTCCACAACAATTTCTTAAGAAATCAATATAATTGAAGGAAAAAGTAAAAGAGAAAAGGAACAACCCTAATCTTTTTCCTTTTTGTAACTAAAGGGCACATTATAATTGATAACATCTTAAGATCTAGCAATAATAGATCAAATGAAAAGAGAAAAGAAGAACAAAAACAAATTTTCATACCATTATGAGGAATCAATTCTTTCGTTTCACTGGGAAATTTAAAGTTTCCAACTTCAAGCTCTTCATCAGCCATTTTGCAAGTAGCATCTTCTTCAGCAACAAAAGATGTTGTGACACCAACTAGTGGGAAGATGGCAACCCTTGATACTTGATTAAACACTGCGATTGACACACCAACAGCAGCAAGCTCCAAAGGGCCTGCAAAACCAAACATTAAGATGTTAAAGATGCAAAAATTATTTTACAGCAGAAAAGAACCATTTGCGACAAACACTACAGGAAAATTGTCAATTACCGGCGGCTTTTTTAGGCGGTTAGTATAAAGTTTACGGCGGTTTTGAAAATTTCTGGTGGGTTATTTTAGATATCACTAGTTGAGACACCAACTAGTGGGAAGATGGCATTTCCGGCGGTTTATTATTAAACACCGCTGGGTAAACCGCCGGTTAGTACCGGCAGTCAGACAGCCGGTAATTCCGGCAGCTATTTGACCACCGGAATTCCCACTGGTAATCGTTGATTTTCCTGTAGTGAGAATTAAAATTGAGAAACAACATTTTGATGCAAGATCAGATAACAGCTTCATTGCCAATGCAACATGTATCTTAAATTATGATTCTAGTTAAGCGAATCATGACATGATATCAACTAGTTAGTAGTTTTCCTGAGACATCTTTTCATTCTCTTTTATTGTCACTAACCATACAAAGATGTTTGAAATACCATTTCTAACCTCTTCATTTCTTTTGATTTGAAAACAAAACCAGAGAGGCATTGATGTAACCCCTGAGTAAAAGGAGTAAAAGGGGTGGGTAAAAGAGGGCCAAAACCAAAACTGCAGGGATAAAAATTCAAGCAATCAAGAAAAATGATGTTGGATAAGTTTAAATAGTTAAAGTGTGAGCAGAAAACCATGGAAAGTATGTAACTTTTGAGGATGGTTCTAGCTGCATAACTTTTCATAGTCCCAGTTCCATTGATCATAGCTTAATAACATAGTTATGTTTTATGTTTATGGAAAAGTCCACATCTGAAAGATTTTAACAATCGCAAACAAAGCCTCTACACTTTGATCAATTACCAAATTAATAACTCAATGACCGGATCAATCACTAAATGTAAATTATGGCTATAAATATGCATAAAAAATCAGTATAACTATGAATATTTAACTTTTTATAATATAGTTAATTTTCTATTAGACTAGATCAAATTAAGCAAATCATTCAATCATTTCATTGTACGATATCCATTCTTCACAATATAATGAGTAGAACACTCTAGAGGAGGGCAAGCAACTTGAACAGCTCTTTTTGGACATGATAACACTAACTCTAAAGATAACTTGGCGATTACACTAAAAGGAAGGAACATGAAAATTCACATGTAATTCCTCTCTGAATTTAATTTGTTTACAAATTAAACAAAAAAGTCCTAAAGATATGGATATCAATTAACAAAGATAAATTGACAGAACTTATATCCACAACAATGAAACATAAAGCAAAACCATGTGCTCAAAGAGACGCACATACATACATTTGTGCCCATGTGTATAATCATGGCAATATTTAAATGATATGAACAAATAAAACAATAAATATTATTGATAATATTGATAAAAGTGAGGAAAAAAAAAGAGTATTGATAGCTAGAGTTTGAATATTAATATTGATAAAAGAGAAAAAAAAGTATATAGTTAAATGCATGACAATGGTTGCATATTAAAATGATTTTAATAAATTACGTAATGGTATATATCATTAGAAATATGATGGATGGCGGCTAAGCAGGTGGGCACTGCTAGGTTGGGCGGCGGGCAAGAAGAAAGAGGGGGAATTGTTTAGGAAAATTTTAATTACAACTGAGAGAGAATTAATTAAGAAAGGAGATCAAATTTGAATTCAAATATGAGAGAAAATTATTTAAGGAAAAATCCGAGGTGTTAAAATTCATTATGTAAGGAGGAATCAATGGAGAATTATTTATGATAGTTTTAATTACAATTGAGAGGACATTAATTAGAGAAAGATATCGAATTTGAATTCAAATATGAGAGGGAATTATTTAGGGAAAGGGGGGTGATTTAGTAGGGATTTAGGGGAGCCTATTTAAGGCTAACTATGGGGTGATTTCAGATTATGCTTGATTTTGCTTGAATTAGCTTTGCTTAAGTTAAGTGGGCTATAGCTGATGACTAGGGATTTGGGAGAGCCGGATCTTCCTCTTCAATTGAAGATCCAACTATATCTTGTATTTTTCTTCTTAGTTTTTTTTTTAATTATTAAAAAAAAAAAGTTTTTTGTGTTCTTCTTCCTAAATTTCTTTTGTCGTTCTCTGGGTTTGCTGAAAATGCATCCACTTCCTATCAAAATAATGAACAAAAGAAAATAGAATCTAACTAATCTACCCATTTTACTAAATACAAATTATGCTAGCAACCGACAAGCACTAGATCAGGTAGTATGTTGCTTGACTCGATTTATAGCGTAAAGGTCTCAAGTTTGAATTTGGTCTGCATACATGCTATAGGCTACACCCAACAAAAATTTTATGAGCATGTAACTGACCTTGTACCTTACTTATTGTCAATATATGTATATTGGATAGATTTATATCCTTAAAAAATAATAAATTGTTATGTGAATGTTGCTCTGCCCATCCATATAGGCACAACACATGAAGGTCATGAGGATATACCAAGCCATAATATTCATGCACACAATAATATGGGGTCCACCATGCTCCACATGCTCGATGTGTGCCTATCAAGTAGTATGCATGCACAAAATTTCCAAAGATAATGGCTTTCACAAACTTTGTCCACTAACACAAGTTAGTATGATAGGCTTCATGGAGTTTCCCTAATTGCAAGAAAAAAAAAATTAATCAGGAAAAAGTTTTAAAGCCATTGGATTTGCTTTAAGACAAATATAATACATAGGAAATCAATCAAAATTGGCAAATCGAATAGCAATGAGACCCATCCTAACAAAAAAAATTAGTACAAATATCTTGAGCTATTTTTTTATCCAAATTGCAAGGGCAGAACAATTGAAATAAAGCTCCCTACTAAACATAATCAACCAATTGCAGCAAGACAACTTAATTATTGAAGGGAAATAAAATAGTAAATTGTGCATCTTTTAGGAGCTATTTGGCAATAGAATTTAATCTAAATCCTGTCATACAGTAAAAACGGTAACTTTAAATCCTACATAATTTAAATCTCAATTCTTCCCCACTTTGCCTCAAATTCAAGATTTAGTAAATCCGTGCAATGGGCGTATTTAACTTATATACACTATTGACCTTGCCGATGACTTCTTTAGCGGGCTCCCATGCTGACTTCCTGGCTTCTTTGACATCTAGGGTCTCTAGTATTTGAGGGACACAAACCTAAGGGAGAAAGATGAGCATATTTTTTATTTAATTTAGAATTTTTTTACTTATTAATATTCATTAAATAAAATATATTAATTAGATTTTTAAATTAATTAAAATAATCATTATTAATGAACTAAAAATGTTACTTTAAGTAGATTAACACCTTTATTGCTTAAATTAATTAACTAGGTATTTGTATATTTAATAAGCCTTATAAATTACTAATTAATAATTAGTTAAGCTATTAATTATGATAATTCTACTTTAAATTGCATAGTTAAAAACCTAAAATTGAGAAAAAATTAAGATGAAAGAGGATTTCAAGTAGGCATGGTAAGGAGAAAGGGGATTAAGATGAGGGGGGATATGATTAATTTAATTTAGGTCCCTCTAACTTGACTAAATCAAAAGTGCTATTTGATAAGCATAGTAGATTAATAAATAATGATTAATTAAGAAGATAGTTTATACTAATTATGATTTAATTAATTTAATTAAGATTGATATAGTATTAGTTAATATAATAAAATATCAAAATAATCTAAATCCTCAAATTCTGAAATAAGTAGCTAAACAGCTTCCGAGGATTTAATCGACATCTGTACTGCTAAAAAGTTTCCCGGATTTAACGATATCAGGATTTAATAAATCCGATTTCCAGGATTTAATAAACCCTAATAGCAGCCAAACAACCCCTTCAGAATATCCCGTCACCCTCAAGGAAGCTCATTCAGAAATAATGCTAAGAAGCTTCAGCAAAATCTAGGAAAAAAAGTGCTATAAAAGAAGCACAAACCTATCTGCCCAATGAACGCGGTATCGATCAGTGATGCAATCGGATCAGCCATCAAAGCAAGCGCAGCTGGAAGCGCAATTTGCACAATCTCCAACCCCAACTCATCCTTCTTGAACGCACTCCTTCAAGTTCCGGCAGAAAATCCAACTCAGAATAGCATAAAAATCCAATCTTTTTTCCAAACAAAAAAAATGTTCAAAACTTGAACGATAATCAGTATTCATACAACCTTGCATCTTTGAAGAAAACACGAAGGGGGCATTCTGTTCTCCCTTCCGACATCGACGGAGCAGCAGAGTCCGGAAGCAGGAAATGACTCAAAGAACCCATAGCCATCAAGCAATCAAAGCAACCCGCTAGGTTGCTCCATATGTATTCGAAAGCCAAAAACATACAAGACCACGCTCTGAAACAAAAAAAAATCGGATTTTCAAACAACACAGAACGAAAGCAAGAAGTAGAAGAGAAGTTAGTGAGAAGAGAGAGAGACGGTCACCTTGGAAGAACGTTTCAGAGAGCACCTCTTGAGCGTGTTCCAACAACCACCCAATAGACCATTTGAAGCCCCTCGAGATGCTCAATAGAACGAAAAGCGTGAAAGACGAAAGGAGGGAACTTTATGACATAAATACAGAGCGGTCGTGGAGCGAATAATGCACAGTAGGCAAGAGAACAAGAATAAGAGAAGGGAACGGCCTCAGTTACGACCTGTTAACACAGAAGGCGTGTAATGTGTTCGATATTACACCAAAGATTGCTCATTTATAATAATTATTATTATAAAAGCTCCAAAATGTAAAGAGGAAGCTCTTATTAGTTACCATTTCTTGATGAAATTTATATTTTAACATGTAGGTTATTGCATCTCATATTCTCATCAATTTCAAATTTATTTTAATTGTGATTTTGTCCCTCCTAATAAGATTTTTTCTAGAAATAGATGTGTTAATATTTTTCATATATTGTCTGCCTGTGTATAATAGGATACATTAAGAAGTATTAAATAACCATTATTTATAAATAACTAATCATATTATATCACATACTATTTGAGACAGCCTATTAAAAAAATTTTAGGTTTGATTTGTGACAGCTTCTTTGCTGCATTTTAAAATTTAAAATGACTTTATAGTACAAAATTTTTTGAGTAGTTTATCATAGTACAAAAAAAATCTTAGTTGATACTGGAAGCTCATGCGTGGAGGATGTCAGCCTTCAAATTTGTCTATCATACTATAATTATAGCTCTAAACAAGTTGACATGCCGTATTAAAGATAGTTGATAGTATGACAAGATAGAAAAATTAATTGAATGAGATAAATGCTACTACTTATTCTTATATTATTATTGATATGTTACCAAAAAATTATCTTGATTGTGGGCGAATCTTGATGTAAAAATGCGTCAAAAAGTTCAAAAATTAAAATTGGTACCATCCGAACTCCGATTTCAGGAAGCTTATAGTCAAACTGAACGTGTCAAAGAAATGAACCCAACGACATCAAAATCAATCTAATTCGAACATAAATGAGTCCAAATCGAGGGCCTAATGCTTATTTAGAAGCTTTAGAATATTAATTGGATGACCAAATGATATCTAAATATGACATGCATATAGTCAAATCGAGCAGCTCAACGACACGAATCCAACGAGCGCAAGATCGTTCAATTATGACATCATTACAATACTCAAATACTCAATAAACAATCCATTATTGAAGGAGTTGATATCAACCGTCCAAATAAGCACTCTTAACATGCTGTTGATATTCTCTTTATTTGTTGGTTATGTCACTCCCAAAATATAAATTAACCCATCATTCTTCACAAAGGGGGAGGAGGAAGATAAAAAAAAGGAAGGATCTCTCCAAGCTTACACCACATGCCGATCGTTGTCGGACTTCCAGCTATTCATTAGTTGCTATTGGACTTTTTCCTAACAACGAAACATTTCCAGACATCTGCCCAATGGTTGATTAATATTGAATCTCCAATCATTGCCAAACATTGATGGAGTATTATATGTTATTTAATCTACATCAAGGGAACCAACTTTTGAGGTTTGGAAATCTCTTCAGCATACTTCTTCTCCTGACCTTGAGTTAAGGGATGAGTTAAAGTCATTCGACTACTATCCTTCCTACCACCTTCGTCCGCTTATTATGATTCTTTAGACCTCTATCACCTAACTATAATCTTTTCGGACTTCGTCACCCAATTAGGGTCCTTTAAATCATCACCCAACTACGGTCCTTCCAACCATCATCACTCGACTATAGTCCTTCCAACCACCATCGCTCGCCATCTACGATTTTTTTAACCTTCGTCGCCCGACTACCGTCTTTTCGACCGTTGATGCCCGACTACAGTTCTTTCAACCATCACCCGACTACAATCCTTCTGACCACCGTCACCTGATTATGATCCTTTCGACCTCTATTGCTTAACTACTATGCTTTCGACCTGTATCACCCGATTATGATCCTTCTTACCACCATCGCTCGATTACGATTCTTCCAACCATCGTCACCCGACTAGTGTCTATCCAACCACGATCGCACGACTACGGTCATTCCAACCTCCATCGCCTGCCGACTACGGTCTATCTGACCACACTTGCATATTTACGATTATTCTGACCAATCGTCGTCTTATTATGGTCTGCTCAACTATTGTTGCCCGACTACGGTGTTTCCAACCACCATCACCTGCTGACTACGGCCCCTCTGACCTCTATCACCCATTGACTATAGTCCTTCCGATCATTGACGCTCGCTAACTACAGTTCCTCAGACCACCGTCGCCCACCAACTACGCTCCATTTGACCAACATCGCCCACCGACTATAGTCCTACTAACTAAATAGACATGTCAACATTCTTTTAAGAATAGTTGTCATGTAATAAGCTATATACAATATGCATTTTCTACATTAAGCCAATGCCCTTCTTCAAGGATGACTATTATTTGTAATCAACCATCTATACTGGTGGATTCATTCAAACTAGGTCAAGCCCCGTGATTTTTTTTTCCTTTTTTAGGATTTTTCATGTAAAAACTCCAGTGTCTCATATGAAAGCTGCACCCCTCTCTTTTATCTGTTTATGTGTTGGATCTTCATACAAAGCTAGGATGCTAAATTTTATATCTCTCTACCACCGCGAATATTTTAAGACGCAACAATTATTATTGTGAATTGTTTTATTTCTTTTTCATAGTTATTCTATCAAAAGTTTTGCAATTTGTAGCATCTCTTAGATATTATTTTTAAAATATGAAGAGCTCCATCATGTCATGAGCTTGATTCTTCTCCAAGAGAGACAAATAAGAGCAACAAAATTAGTTGTTTTATGTTCACTTGTGTTTATTAGAAAAACAAAATTAAAGAAATTATAGATTAATATGTAAGAAGATGGATAATAATAATAAAAAACTTTATGTCATAACCTAGGTCCAAAGGTGAACCAATTAGGGAATATGAGATATCATGAAGGAATTTAATTTAAACTCAAGAGACAAGCCTTAAGATTTAAAATCAAATACATTAGTTTTGTATTTAAGAGAAAATAACTCATATATGAATATATGTAAGCAAATATGAATGGCATAAATCTAAAAAATGAACATTTAATTTATCAATAGATTTATTTCATAATATTTGATAGAGAAAAACTTGAACATTAGCTGACAAAAAAAAAAAAAAGATGCACTGTATTTTCAATGACAGAAAACCAACAAAAAAAGCTAGACAAAGAATAACAACTTAAATATAAATTGAATTAATGAATATCTATTGTTGAACGATCTATTGTTGTATTGATGATTCACAAATCAACAGGTTAAAATCTACTAAGAGAAAAATGATAAAAGGGATTTTGTCGAGATTTGTGAGCGAGTAATAAAAAAATACAACAACTGAAGCTAATAAAAATAAGCAAAGATTGAAACTAAATGCAAGAAATTAATGAATAAAACATTGAAGAGTAGGAACATGCAATTTAGAGTGGTTCTATCATATGAATTTAAATCTAATGTGGTTAGGAATTAGGATAGCAATAAATGTAGTTTTCTTTATTAAGATCCTCCTGGGTGTTATAGTGATTGGTTCAGTATAGAAGATAAAATAGAGTTATGAAACAAGAGCTTTGTGTAACAAAATTCTTCTAGGCTTGAAGATTGGAGGGTTTTTTTTTAATCTTGCTCATAGCACTTGAGTGATTGATTACAAAGATCATATTGCTTAATTTTTTCTAATATTGTTGTTAGTCATAGGAAAACAACAATAATTATTGTGTCGCCATCATAATACTTTGATGATTAGTAATGGAATATGGGTTAGCATGAGGAAAATATTTTGTCAATTTCTATTTAAATTTTATCGTAAATGCATAGTTAAACCCCTTTGGATTTACTATTTCCCGAGAAAAATACCAAGGCTAAGATGAAAATCTCCAAGATCAAGAATGACTTGAAATCAAAAAGAGGTTTCTTGAGAAAGAGAAGGATATCCTAAAACTAAGAAGGAAATCCTAAGTCCTAAGATGAGATATGGATTTATTTTTCCATCATGCCATGTATAGGGATGAGATGCAACCACATGTGAAAATTGAAGTGTATATTTTCCCTCATTTTAACAAGCTACAAGTCTTATTAAGACATTGAAATGTTAATCTACTCATTGCTCAAATATTCCTTGTTGTGGCCATTATTCTATGAGCGCCTTTGCTAATGATAAGCATGCTTCCATGAGTTTGTGGGATAAAGTGACTTAAGGCAAAAAAATCAAATATACAAGAGAGGACAACTTTGAGCCATTCAAAGCCTATGCCACCAAAGGATGTAGAGAACATAGTCCTAGAGGTCTCAAACCTAAAGCATATCGATGAGGCTTTTGTCACTATTATAATCACCATTATATAGCACAAGGCATGCATTGTTCCCACTGTCCTCATTGGATATGTTATAGATGTGCTAAGGGAGATGTTATCAATGAAAAGAGAAAACCCTCATTGAATGAAAAAGAATCCTAGGTAGTCTATAAAGAGGAAGGAGGTTACTTTGATAGATGTGGAATATGATAAGAATCCAAATGATGAGGAGGTAGATCCCTTTCATGCCAACAAAGTTATTCATTTTCCCCTCCTAAAAATAAAGAGCTTCTCATGAATATTTAAGAGGATTTTCCTCCCCCTCTTCCCATGATGCAATGCTTGCCACTGACAGACACTCATGAAACAGTCAGTCAAGATTCTTTTAATAAGGATAGACAAAATCTCAAAAATAATGGAGAATCAACTCCATGAGGTGGTAGTCCTAGCGGCCTCCCAAGTCCACCAAGGTTTGCCTTTTTGAAGTGTCTAGATCTATCTCTATAATCATGATTATAAATGAATTGGAGGAAATGGTTGACCTACTTTCCAAAGAGCTAAAAATGATGTAGGAGAGCCTAAACCTCCTTATAAATGAGTGACAATGTATGCCATTGCTAAAAGAAGGTGGATAAGATGAGCATAATACATGAACTCTCCAAAAGGCTTGTATAGTCATAACAAAATGAACTTACAATTATTTTTATTGATCTATATATCTATTCAATTTTTGATATAACTTAGTTTAAATGTAACTTTTTAAATAAAAAAACATTAATTCTTAAATATTTTCATATTAACCTCAAAAATATATTAATGTATAAACAGCTGAGTTTATTTTAAAAATTCT